TTTTCAGATAATATTAGCATTATTAATATTACATTATTATCGAAAGAATTTAAAAATCAATGACGTGAATTTTATACTTCGTGTGTGTGTGTGTGATTTTAAGTATTTGTTAAAGTGTGATTTTAGGTCTTTGATAACATGTAATTTCTAAAGCATTCTTAGGGACATTGTTAGCATGAGAATATAAGCAATTTTTGGCGTGTGATTTGAAGACTTGTGAGTGACATCAAATACCACTGGCGTGGATTTAAGAAAATGTTTAAGTGAAATTTCAAACATTATTTTTCGTACCTGAATTGAATAGGTTTTTTAATTTTGTTTTTAGATTCCATCATTGTGATGTTGTAACACCTCTCGTTCCATAAAAAAACAGTGTATTAAACCTCTTTTGTTTAACGTTTGGATGGAGCACCATGATTTTACAGAAAAAAATATTTCCAATAAGCTTGTAAAAATAAATATCTACACTATAATAGTTTTCTACATAATTGTTCAACATGCGACGTCAAACAAGAAATATTTCAATTTTTGTCATTCAAAAGCGTGATCATTTGGTAAATAACTTTTTTTTCGAACAAGTTGACAAAAAGCCGATGTATATTTATACATTGCCTTAAAGAAACCATATAAATTACGAGATAACTAAAATGTCAAAAAAAAGAAACATATTTCGTCTTTGCAAATCAATTTCTCGTATTGTGAAGTATGCCAACGTTACCTTACACTTATAGATTCGTGATGTATTAACATCTACAAATGTATCTTCCCAGCAACTCAAAAATTTAAAATGAAATAAAATACTATAATATAAAACTTTAAATCTCCACTCACGAGCACTATTTGTCTAAACATTCTCATTTTTATAGTATCCTTAATATATATATATATATATGTTAAATATGTGACATGACGCTACTTTTCACTGAGCACTAAAATAATTTGAAGTATTTACAAGTTATGAACATGTTTCTATAGTCACAATCTATATCAAAATATATTATGTTTTTAGATTAGAATTTAAAATCATATTTTTGTCCATATGTTTATTTTATGGAACAGGCAACGATAGTATTGTTTCATAGTAGAAATACACTATTAAACACTACACAGAAAAAAAATTATACATACGGCAAAAATCATAACTATTACTTAACAACAATTTCTCTGTGTGTGTATATGTACGTCCGCTTATAAATGGCGAACCTCTGGACCGACCGTCACCAAATCTAGAATGTTCCTATAGGACTTCTTGGAAATCACATAGCGAGGGTTGAAGTTCGTAGCTGATCTCCTTCCCCCACGTCTTCTTCGTGTGTTGAACCAGTACGTCAGCTAGTATATAAATTAAGCACTTAGAATTTAATTAATTTCTGCAACTAGAAACAAATATTTATTATAAAACAGAGCAAATTCTCTTCCAGTTAGTTATGGACAGTTTCCCAGTATAATGGCTTTTAACTTGTTCTTTCAAACTCTTACGTTTCATCGTTATTCACATAATTACACAAAAACTGCCACAGAGAGAGGGAGTTTTTTGAAAAATAACAACAACACCATTATAACCATGTAATTTAATAGGATACTTTCGCTGCTGAACGAAAACACCGCTAATATTTCATTTTTTCATGAAATACACAAAAAATGACTAAAACTGTTAAATATCTATTCTAGTAATTAATCATATTGATTCATATTATCAATATTGAAGATTCATAACAACAACTTGAACATTCCAAACAGAATAATTTAGTATATACAATTCTTCCACCTCAAAGCTGTTTTCGACACGAATTAAACTAAACAAACAAAAACAAACCTATAACAATTATAGGCAGGTCTCTTACTCTAACTACGTCAGAACAATATAATTGTCAGCACTCAGCTACTTTGAAGGTAACGCTTTGTAGTTTTGATTTACAATTACTTAGTTCAAATAGAGATTTCAGACGAATGGTTAATTTTTAAATCGAATACCTTAGTAATAATAACATTTGTGGTCTGATGATACCACTCTAATTTTACATTAGTATGGTAATAATATATGCTTCTAGAAAATATGAAAGTCGTCAAAGTTAAATCAAAAGATAACAGTGAACGTATTCGAAAACAATCTGAAATTATAACCTAATGCCACCACCATCAAGACTAAGAAAGCGGTTAAAAGATAAGAGATTTTTCGAGAAAGTCTTACAAGTTTTTACTATTTTGCGTTACAAGTCGTATATGCCTACTTAAGCCGTTTTTAATTAGAATAACCATTATTTTTAATTTGCTGATATTTGTATAATAAAACAAAAGCATAGAATTATAAGAATAAGATATTACACAAATTGACACAATGTTAATTATATTAAGATCGAATTACATCACTTTATTATACTTATTAAGACTTTAACTATTGAAAAACCTAATAACAATATAGCACATATTTCAACTTTTAAGTAATATTATGCTTCAATAGAGTATGTTATCCAATTATATTGCTTTTTTACAAGACCGTGGTTCTGTAAGATTATCTGCCTATAACTGTATTGATCTTGGGAGGTAGAATAGTCAAAGAGATCATGTGGCGATTGTTAAAACAATCCAGTACACAATATTAAATCACAACATGAACTTAATACATGCAACCTTACTCAATCTATGGTATAAAAAATGGGATTTGACATATGACAAATGCTTCCTATTTCAGACAAATTATACGAATAGGTGATCGTGTCAACTCATCTTAATGACACGTGACACACTTTCCAACTTATTAAAGATAGCAACACAAAAAAGAAGAAACGTATTATTAAATCTTAGAGTTAGTAAATTTAATCTTCATTGGATGTTGGATAAGAATTATTGTAAATTTGTTAAATGAAAGCTCTATTTATTCAACATGATCAGGTAATCTGGTAGAGAAAAAAAAATCATGATAAGTTTATGTGCTTCATATCTATAGCAACTCTAATTTTTATACTTCTAATATATCTTTTTGTTCAAAACCTTTAAGGTAATATATTTAAATGTATATTCAAAATAAAGCAGAAATAAAAATAAGCAATCATATTGAGAAATCGTCTAAACTAACTCTTAATCTTGTTTGATAATTCTTAATTTAATAAAGTTGATGCTACTTTTAATAATTATTATGAATGCTATTAACAAAAGAAAAACTTAGTTGATGAATAGTTTTTATTATAATTACAACTTTAAGAAACAAAATTAGCTTCTAACATAAGCTAACTTATAGGAGTAGCTTCAGGCTCTCCAATAAATATTATATTTTATGAATAAAGGTCATTAGAGTATATACAGATATTTACATTAATAAACGTTTCCCTTGGTGATACACGTCTCGTCTAATATTCTTATCCCTTAATTACAGCACGGAGTAAACATATCATTATGAAAAATATGCTTGTTTGTTTCTTTGTAAAATACCTTTTCAAACTTTTAAGAATTAAAAATTTTCCATTTCTTTGTTATAAGTGGTTGATTTACGTAAGACATATTTTAATATTTCAACGTGGGTATTATAATAACTGAATGACATTTTTTGCCATGTTTGATGTTATCATTAACAAACACATAAATAAAAGAAAGAGTAAAAATACGATGTTGTATTATCATTACTGTTTAGTGTTTGACAAAAACGTGCCAGTTTGCTTATCGAACCTTAAAATATTCAAAAATAAACATACTACCATTCGGGCAGTTATTAAAGATGTAAATATATTCCAGAGCAATAGCAGAAACACTATAACTAATTTTGTTTGAATAAAAGCACTTTCAATATTCTGCTTACTTAACACACCGTAGTTTCCAGAAACACAAAAACTATTTTCAATAGAGGAAACTGGGGCTGGTTTTGCCAGAGAGCTGGTTGACACGATGCTAGTAACTTTCATATACTGAAGTTGGTAGCCGTGATATTATGATCACTAACACTTCACTTGTTGTTGTGGTTTTATCGTGATCGGAAGCCTCTGTCGTGTGCAGGAGTAAACTTTATATTATCTCATAAGTAAGTAAATATTTTCTACTGCAATTATTTTGTTATGTCATATTAAATAATTTGTAAACAGAATTAAGTTTCATAGTATTTCAAAGTGCATTATTTCGGCTACATAATGGTACATAATTTTGTCTGATAACTACGACTGAGTCATTTCTACTAAAATGGCAGTTTAGGGCACGTTGACACATTTCACTTAAGGCATTTTGACACGCGTGTCAACCAGCCTCACAAAGAATAATTTGCATGTATTTTTAACGCTTTTTAAAACAAAGATAAATATAATATGAAAATATTTAAGCTCATTTTGATTAATTCTGATTAATGTTTAAATGGTGAAAAAATTCACAAAACTTAAATACAATTCTTTCAAATTTCTCACTGTGTTGCTCCCTTTCCATTATTTTCTTGTGATGTTTTTCTAATCTTTGAATTTCAAACTGTCCATTCCCACAGTGTAAAGACTGGGCTCATGAATCATGTACGAAAGGAAATGTGTTTTACACGTGTTACAAATGTGACTCTCTAGATGAGATGAGTGAACCATTTTTTCACTGATTTTTTTTATATTCTTTCATATACTTTGTTTATAATCCAACTGAAACTGTTAAAATATATATGTTTCATTTACTTAAATGTGCAATAAATATATTGATATAAACAAAGTATTTTTATTTAATTTCACTCAACTTGGCTGGTACTCGTGGCAGTTTGATACACAGCGCACACTCTTCCATTGTGTTTATTTCTCAGAAAATTAGCAAAGTGTTAAGTGATTTGTTTCTGCTGTGTAATAGAGGAAAA